GACTTGTTCCAATAAGAGACATAATTCCACTCAATATAACCGAATGTGATCAATCATTTTGTAAAAGCAATTAAGCCGCGAATCGTGTCAACTGGCAACGCATTTAAGGCCCTGCTTATAAGGCTAAGCCCCAGCTGGGCCGCAGGTGTCAGTGTCCGCGTCTGGTCTGGCCCGAAAGAAGCGCGACAAGAAGCTGGAGGACAGCTTCCTAACGTCTTTAAGCAATTAAAGCCACAAATAATGCGCGAGGCGATAAATTTTGTTAAGTGCGTTCACATGAAAGTTGTCAAAAAGCGTTTGAGAAATTTTCACCGCGAGCGGCACATAAAAAAAAAATAAATAAAATAATAAAAAATAAACCTACAAAAATCCTACGACATGACTTGGGATGTTTATCAAACACCTCTGCCAATGCGTGAGGCCTCGAGGTGTGGCACCAAGCATGCCGCACGGCTCCATGCTACACGCAAGCCCCAGACCCCAATCCATAGAGCAGAGACAGAGCCCATACTTGGGAGACGACGACATCGCCTGATAGCCAAGCGATAAGCAACATTACCGTACAATTTTCAATTAACACGAGGCAACTGTAAAGAGCTCTCGGACCAGGTATGCCACATGGCATTCCGCATGGCCCGATAGCCCGTGCCTTGGCTCTGCCACCAGAGTGGCGCTTCCAGGCAAAGCAAACAGCTCCGCAGCTTCTCTACAAATTGTCTAATCTCTGCGCGCCTCCGACTCCAGTCGGGCCTGGTCAGTCTGGTCTGCTGCTGCTCGTCGTGGTGCTGGTGGTGGTGGTGCATCGATCTCTGGTAGTGAAAAGTTGTCGACCAGCAGGCACCACCAGAACTGGCCACAGTAGACAATTTATCATTCGAGCTGCCGCCTAGTGGCGGTCGTAAAAGCTCTTTATGGCTGCTTCTGCTTCTGCTGTGGATCGCTCCAGCCGTATCCTATCCACCTAGCTCCACATACTTTTCCAACTGTCTCTCAGTCGATAGGTCTTTTTCCTGTTTGCATTCGGTGTCCACGCTTCAGTTTGACAGTTTGCATTGAGCTGTCGCTCGTTTTATGCTTGAAATGATTTAGCTTAGGCTCGCCTCTCAAGGCATTATGCAACAGTAGCTGAAGCTATTCCAGAGAACATATGGCCCTCTCTTGGGTTTGATACCCTTCACGTGTTACAGCGGGGGATAAATAATCTGCACAGCTTTATATAGCTTACCAAATAGCCCAACTGTAGCATACTGAGTTCCTGAGTTAGCTGGGTTCAGCGAGATCTTGAAAGAATAAAAACAGCTTAAAAGTCTGCTAACAGTTCTTCTTCTTGTAACATATGTTACATTTGTTGCCTAGGGTTCAATAGACTTACAGAGTATATATCAGTAGAAACCTGATAATATATATTAAGCATATACTAAATTTGCCAACTCCAGCTCGCGTAGTTCCTAACATCATTGGGTCCAGGCAGATTAAAAAGTCTGTATTACAGTACATAACGGTACAGTAGGCAACAAAACTAAGCTACACTCAAACGTTTGTCAAACTTTTACTTTCTCAGACTCTAAAAATTTTAAATTGTAAGCAATGTCTGGGCTTCTAAGGCTCGGCTACGGTGGTCACCTGCTGAACCTCTGCTTTGGCAGCAGGCAGAACAGGGGCGCCTTTGTGGAGCCACCAAAATGGTTATCTCTGGAGCTGCAGCGGAAATACTCGCACGATTGTGAGAAATTCACGGTAGTTATGGTGCGGCACGGGGAGTCCGAGTGGAATCAGCAGAATCTCTTTTGCGGCTGGTACGATGCCAAGCTGTCGGAGAAGGGGCGCAAGGAGGCGAGTGCGGCGGGCAAGGCCATCAAGGATGCCAAGCTGAAGTTCGACGTGGCGCACACATCACTGCTGACGCGGGCCCAGGACACATTGCAGTCCATACTGGAGGTGACGGGACAAAAGGATATATGCATACAGAAGACGTGGCGCCTCAATGAGCGCCACTACGGCGGGCTGACGGGTCTGAACAAGGCGGAGACGGCCAAGAAGTATGGCGAGGAGAAGGTTAAGATCTGGCGACGCAGCTTTGATACGCCGCCGCCGCCCATGGAGCAGGATCACAAGTACTACGAGTGCATAGCCAAGGATCCCAGATATTGTGATGGACCCAAGCAGGACGAGTTTCCCAAAGCTGAATCCCTCAAACTGACCATTGAGCGTACTATGCCATACTGGAACGATGTAATCGTGCCGCAGATAAGGCAGGGCAAAAAGCTGATCATCGCCGCACACGGAAACAGCCTGAGGGGCATAGTGAAGCATCTGGATCAGATATCCGATGAGGCCATAATGGAGCTTAATCTGCCCACGGGCATACCCTTTGTCTATGAGCTAGACAAGTGCATGCTGCCGCTGGCGCCCATGAAATTCTTGGGCGATCCCGAAACCGTTAAGAAGGCCATCGAATCTGTGTCCAAGCAGGGAAAGGCAAAGTAGCATGAAGTCAAAGGTTATGCACAACAGCCAACATAAATTACGAAAAATACAAGAAGAAGGTCAAAATAATATTTCTTACTCAATGCACTTGCCTGCCCCAATCTTTAGCTGAATCTGTATCTGTATCTGAATCCGAATCAGAATCGAAATCGGAATCGCAATTCAGAGAGTGAGCGAAATAAACGCGAATGTCAAGCAGCAAATAAATTTATTTGATTTTAATTGACAATGAAAAGTCAACAAAGGCTGCAAGACAGCGCCTCTGCTGAATGTATCTATATATGCATATAGATATATATATTGATATATATATATATATATGTATATATCGCAGAGTTAGCTGGCTGCAGGGTAATAAGTATGTCTCAGTCTTTAGAGTTCGGTCTGCAGTCTGTTCAGACCCAATCCCAGTCTTATTTCAACGTCAATTTTAATTGTTGTTGTTCGGGTTCAGTTGGAATGTCTGTTGCGCGACATTCAAATGGGTCGAATTTTAATATGTTTAAATGAAATACTCATTTAGGTTTTATTGACAAACAAATTGAATTGATTGATCTAAATGAATTTATGCGGTCAGCGACGAGCGTCTAACAAATGCATGCTCCCGCTCTTTCTCTTACTCATACTCGCACACTCTCTCTTCCTCTTTTTACCCCCACTTATACCCCTATGCCTTGCACAAGTTTTACACTCACAATAGCCTAGATTCATATTCATATGAGTCAACTCTGAATAATTCTTGAGTCGATGTTGTCTCTTTAACTGCCGAAGCAACGTGCGTCAACAAAGGTTAGATTTGACATACAACTTATTATGCAAACAGTGTGACCATATTGATTTAATATGCTCTGGCCAGTGTTCGAAAAGACTAAACAAAATGAGCGTGCGATACGAGATTCGTATATGTAGGTTAAATAACAATTAGAAATTTGGCAAATTAAATGGAAGATTCAGCTTTATAATTATATTATAATTATGGTATATTCAGAAAATTACTTAAAATAAAGTAATTATTAATATTTATTCCAACATTTTGTTAATGCAATTTCTTCCGTTAAGTCTTCCTTAATAAAATAATCAAAAATAGGTTGCATATTGAAATATATGTACATTAAATAACTTTTACAAATTTTAAGAATTGTTTATCAACTGTCGCAATATTACAGATTATATAATTTGTTTTTCCGCTGGTTCTCCGGATAGCTCTCAGGTATTTGGCATGCACAAATCGAAAAGCGTGAGCTCAACTTAATTATGTAAAAGAAAAGCAGAGCTCTGGGTGCGCATCTTTGGCATCTCTTTCGCGAGTTGGTTCCACTACAAATACGAATGCAGCATAGAAATTGAGGGAACATAAAAATGTTTGCACTTCGTATTTGTCGCACATAAAATCTAATATCGAATTACAAGAGATGCGCGGAGAGCGAGTCGCCACGGTTCGGGCAACGCGTTTCAAGGGGCATCAGGCGGCAAGCGGCATGCGGCATGTGGCATGCAGCAGGTCCATGCAGCGTGCGTGTCAGCGAAACTTAGTCTGGCCGACTGGCTGGCAGGCGTGCCCCCAGCTACAAAAGATGCTGCCCAACGCCCCGCTGCCCCGTCTGTGGCTGCCCATAAAGAAACTGAATTGAGTTAAATGTGCGATAAATTGCTTTTTGCATTTATCATGGTGCGCGCAGAGCGGGCCAAAAGCTGGAGCCGAGCCAGACCAGACCAGACCAGACCCGACCCAGGCCACAGGCCAGGCCTAGGCCTAGGCCCATTGCCGGGTTGAAGACGCTGCCAGGCCAGGCTGCCAACGGCTGTGGCGAATATTGAACAAGATTTTTAATTAGCCGCCAAAAAAAAAAAACAAAACATGAAAACAAGTAAAAATGCGCCAGTCGGGGGAACCCGACTAAGAGATACCCTGGACCCAGCGCCGAGCTGCTGTAACAATCCCTCAAGCTTCCTTCTATACAGACAGACACATAAACACACACACACACGCACACTTCTTACACCAGCTTTAATCAAGACATTTCTCCAGCTTTTGGGAAAATGTTGGGAGGTATCCAAAAAGTTAAATATAACCGTTCAATATAAACTGTACGAGAGCCTACATACCAAATTAGGCGTATCTAGCTCTTATAATCCTTGAGCCATGCCTAAAAATCCAAGTAACAACATCGATAAATATCGATATTATGGAAATGCCACAAGATATCGATAAAAATGATGAGCTTCTTCTGCGCTTGGTATAGGAGTATATATATTTTAATTTGCCAGTCTCTAGCTTTTGCAATATCCGAGATCACACGGACAGAGAGATGGACATGGTTAGATAAACCCAACTCGTCGTTTTGATCAAGAATATATACACTTTTTACGGTCGGAGCTGCTTCTTTCAGCCAGTTACATACATGTGCACAGAAGCATGATACCCTTTTTTACCACTTTCATTGAGTTTAGGGTATAAAAGGAAACGAAATAAATGAATAGTAGAAAAGGAGGTAAATAAAATGTGAACCACAAGAGAATTTATTGCTTATGCGTCGCCTGGGCCAGATCCTGGTTAAGGATCTTGCTGATGTAGGGCAAAAAGCTGGAGACACGCGTATAGACATCGGGCTTGCCCTGGGCGCAGGTGGCGCTGCCATAGGACACAATGCCCACCAGCTGCAGCGGACGGCCGCTGGCCGTCAAGATCAGTGGACCACCCGAGTCACCCTGTTGGTCGAAAATGCCAGCAGTTGAGTTAAGCATAGCAAATCTCCAGTCTAACGCACTACTCACCATGCAGGCGCCCTGGCCGGGCGCTGAAAGTGCGCAAATCTCGTTGGGTGTGACGCGAAAGCCTTTCTGGACGCATTCCTCATTCGAGATGGTCTGATAGTTGAGCACCTGCAGGCGATCCGGCACCTGAGCGCCCGTACTGTTGGGCGTTATGGAGCCCCAGCCGGTGAGACGGACGGGCACCTGGCGGCCAATGCGTGTGCTGTCACCCAACGGCACGGTGGCAATCTCCGCGAACTGCAGCTGAAACGGCCGACTGACCCTCAGCAGGGCAATGTCATTGATTATGCGCGGACTCATGGTATACTGCGGATGCACGTGCTTGGCCACAATTCCGTGCCGATGGCGTCCATCCAGCTGCCAGTTAAGTGTGCCGCCCAGCACGCTTAGGTGGGCCACCTGCAGCTTGTCCACGCAATGCGCCGCCGTCAGGACATGCTGCTCGCTGACAATGGAGCCGCTGCAGAAGTGCCGCCAGCGGCCACGGCGCAGCATCTGCATTGAGACCTGAAATGGCACCGATTCGTTCATCAATTGGCCGCCATTGATGCGGGCTGCATCCAGCTCTGCAGTCAGATCCTCTCCAGACTCGGGAATATTGCCTGCATCTGCGCCTGCTAGAATCAGGCAGAGGATACCCACATGGCAAATCCTGAAAAGCTGTTGATATTTTGCTATCATTTTGTCAGTTTACACTTTACGAATGTGTGCGTATCTGAAGAGCTGTATCTTTTATACAGCATGTATCTTATAGATGCGTTGCGAATATCTTTAGCTCAGTCTTGATAAATATGCCTGAGATAAGATGTGGCTAAACAAATGCTTGCAATTTTTTGCTGCATAAAATGTATATTTATACTCATACAAATATGTTTACATTTGCATATACATATATAGATGGAAGATGATTATGAATGAGATCATGGTTAAGAATTTCTCACCGAAGGAAAACCAATGAAAGTCAAGTTTGTTTACACGAGTTCTAGGTTAAAGATTATATTTTTTTTATTCACTGTAATCCAATGTAGTTCCTCAGATTAAAATAAGAGATCGATAGCAAATATTTAAAAAAAAAAACAAAGCCCAAGTACTTTCATATTTGGCTGAGCGTTACCACGGAGTTAAGGGATTGAACCCCTTTGAAGACAGAAGGCAGAAAATATCTTTTAAATTTTAAATTCAAATATTTTATTAAGCAAGAACTAGCGACCTATCTGTAGCCATCGATCAACTTTCTATCCGTCTATCTATAATTATCTATCACGTTCCGTTGCGCCTAATCATATTTCGTAATGAACTTTTCTTTTTGCCGAAAAAAAATAAATGAAATGGCGCTTACAATTACGAAAATTTCAAGTGACGCGTGAGAAGGTCAAAAGTTTTCCGAACGCAGTGAATATGGCCAAATGTGGACATGAGTGCTTCGGCGACTGGAAATTGAGACTGGAAGCGGGAGCCGCACAGAGACCGCGGCCGAGACCCCAAACAAACAGTGGCCAGCGTTGGGGCTACTGCACAGCTGCAGTTGAAATTGAGATGCAGTTGCAACTCACACAAACACACGCACACACACACGCACACACACACGCACACACACATGCAGCACGTTCATGAACTTTGCTCGCTTAACCTCCGCTTGTGGTTCCTGTTGCTGTTGCAGTTGAATTTCGGCTCGCATAGCTCGTACCTGTGGCAATTTGAGCACCTGGTGCTGCTCGCAGGCTCCTCACATATGCGAACTGAACTCATTTTCCGTTTTCCCTCGGCTAATTTGATTTGTCTTTGCGTAAATTGAAAATGAGCCTCCCAAGGATTTCTTACACACATTTATATAGTGTAATTCCAAGCAGCTGCAATCACTTATGTGCTCACATGTGCTCCATTTCGAGATTGATTTTACAATTTGAAATCAATGCAAATTATGAAGATTGCATTTGGAATTGTAACTGATATGCAAATTTTGTCGGAGCAAGATTTAAGACAGATATTCAATATAATGAAGTAGTCAAGATGTTCTTTAATCTGAACTAACTGAATTACTATTATATTATACTGAAATTATATTCTATTATTATATTATATACTAGCGGGTATAACCCGGCCTTGCCCGTGGTACGTATGTTATAAAATCAATGTTCTCAAACAAATTTGAAATGATTTTGAAACTGATCGGACGGTAAACAAATAACTTTCATACAAACGTATGATTTACCACTGTTGCGAGTGGAATTTCCCAAATCGCTGAAAGACGTATTCATTACATTCTTATGTAGAGCTTTGAAAATAGGTTTGAAGCAAATCGGACACAATTTAAAACTTCGCACAACAAATCTTTGAGTCGCATTCCACCCGAAAAAGTTTGAATTCTGCGAAAAGTGTGAAACACGTATCAAATGATTTTTCTTATAGATCTCTGGAAATGAAATTGAGCGCGAAACGTCACCCACCAAATCTTTGACCTCCATTTCCACCACGGAGGAACGTATTTTTCGAAAAGTGTGAAACACCCCTCAAATGAATTTGAACAAAGATCTTTGAAAATAAGTTTGAGGCCGATCGGATGGTAAACAAAAAAGTTACATACAAACGTTTTTCGCGATTTTGCCACACTTGCGGGTGGAATTTCCCGAAACCCCGTCTTAACGTGCACCTACATCACATAAGGTAACTACAGTGAAAATTTCAGCTTCCTAGCTCTTACGGTTTGGGCTGTGCGTTGATCACCAATCAGTCAGTCAGTCAGTCAGTCAGTCAGTCAGTCAGTCAGTCAGTCAGGACAAACAGTTTTATATATAGAGATAAAATTATCATTTAAATAAATAATATATAATCATAAATAAATGTTGTTTTTAATATGCGCATCTATTAATAAATTGCACCTCTGTTTCTTTATTATATTTAGAATATGTTATCAAATAGAAGACAATAGAATATAGGCAAGGTCTAAAGTTAAATTTTGAGGTAAACAAAGCATTCAAATACATATTATCATTGCAGTCCAAAAATATTATATTGTCAATGTGCACAATCAAGCATAGTCATTATTTTTATATATTTTTCTAATGCCTGGACTTTAGATCTAGCGCTTATTTGGAGTTTATTCCATAGAAGATAGCATATATAGAATTATATATAGACTGACAATTGTATTTTGTTATTTATTTCTTTACCCTCACATAAACTTAAGAGTACGCGTATGAGTATGAATAGCTGTGAGAATGCGTATTCACGAGTGTGCGTAAATAACAATATACGTATCTATGAGTATGCGTAACTGTGAGTATGAGTACATATGAGTATTCATATCTAATAGTATGCATATCTGTGAGTATTGTGCTTATCTATGAGTATGCGTACTTCTGTATACATATATGCGCGTTTATGATATATGAGTATTCGTATCAACGAGTATACAAATCTATGTCTATACGTATCTTTGAATATTGGTATATGTGAGTATGATATATGCGAGTTTTCGTAGCTTTGCGCATGCGTATCTATGCGTATGCGTTTCTATGAGTATGCGTACTTGTAAGTATGCATATCTGCGATTATACAAATCTATGAGAATTCGTAAATGAAAGTATGCATATATGTGAGTATTCGCAGGTATGAGTATGCATATCTTTGTGTGTTCATTTATCAGTCTGCATATCTCTGGGTATGCAAATCTATGAGTATTCGTATGTGTCAGTATGCGTATATTTGGGTATGAGTATAATTTAGCAAACATGTGGATAGACTTATCTTGCCTGACGAGCGCTTATCACTATCAAGAAAATAGGAATTATTGTATAACTTTAAATATAAAAAGAAATAAAAATCATTCCAAATTTCAGTTTGAATTTTTGGCAAATTGACCTCAAACTTATCAGTTACTGTTTTAAAACATTCATATGTGTCCCGCTCCCAGTTGTACTCTGTGAAAGACACACGAAAGCCTCAACAATTTCTTCTTCTTCCACAATTACTCATGTTCCCATGAAAGCCACCCAAGAAATTAGTTAAACTGGTCAGCTCGCAGGCTTAGTGCAGCGAGTGCCTCACATAGCCGAGTCCAAATTTAAGAAAGCAATTTCAGATGTGCCCAGGCCCGCACACCTGTGTACCTGCCCACCGCACACCTGGAGTCGGGCAAGTGGAAGTGGCGCTGCAGACGAGCATCGTTCATGTGGGTGTGTGAAATAGGGCTGAGAGCAAAGAGCTGGGAGCTGAAAGCTCCACGAGCTGCAACTGCGTGCTAGACAGGGACTTGGCAATAGGCACAGCTAGAAACAGGGCGGGGAGAGCGGGTTCGGGGCGTTGCGGTGTGGGTTGCATGGCACTCAGCATGCGATTTCATTTTGATAATAATGGCAAAGTCAAATAATTATAATGATCATGATTACAATCATCGATGCGGGCAGCGCCTGTCGAGGCGAAGGCTGCGACCGAGACGGAGACTGAGGCCGAGGCCGAGTCTTAGGCATCATCAACGCAGCAACTTGGCCAAATGACTAAGCAATTTACCGTTTTGTATAGATTTCAAACTCTTGCACCCATCTACTACTCCCCCTACCTGTAGCTGAGTCCCAGCCCCAGCCCCAGTCACTGCCCCTGACCATGGCCCTGGCTGTGGCTGCTGCATGGACCGCGCGCATCTTCAATGAAATTTCAGGTCAATTGTCTTCTGCGGCTGCGTCTGAGTCCCAGAACCCGCCTGCAACTACTTTGTCAGAGCGAGAAGGTATGCGAATGCGAGAGACGAGAACCGAATGCGAGTCAACCGCAAACGCAGCTCTTGCCAATTTCTACTTTCGTGCAGAATTCTAGACAGTATTTTGTGTGAGCTGTGCATTTGAATACCCTAGCTGCAAGGGATAGTTCGATTTTATGACGAAACTTGGAACATTCAATCCTTTAAACTTTTATTTAGACATATGCCACATTTTGAATCCTCTAAAGTATTCAGATACAAATGTAATGCTTGAAAAATGCTCAGGCAGAAATATGAATTTTATTGTCTTGCAGAGCGTATTTAACTGTTTCCAGGATAAGTGTGAAGCTTAGCAGGAATATCTTTCATCGAAAAAGTATTTAAATTCCTTATCTTGGCATAAAGAGCCAAGACAATAAGCTATGTTGATCTGTTTCTTTGTCGAGGTCCGCCGGTTTGGATGAGTATATGCTATAAGAACCATGGGACTATCGGTAAAATAAACAAACTTATGTATTAAAAAGCTTACAGGTATCACAATCATTTGACCAATCTCAACAGTAAAAGCCTCACTAATATATGACATACATAAGCATCAACATCGGGAAATTTTATATCATACTAATATATCATATATATCATAGCACCCATAGAAAACATCGACCGAACACCATTTTTTTCTAGTAATTTTAGATACTTTAACTAAATTAAAAAAAAAAATACGATCTTCAATGTGTTGTTTGCAGCAAAGTAATTTACATTTTCGGAGTACTATATCATATAGATTATAATTGAACAATCTATTTAAATATTTGCTCGTGCTGCGTTTTTTATTTATATATTTTTAAATCAAAATTGAGCCTAGAAAAGTATCTAGCAGATGTATGTATCTAATATATGGGTGGAAGGGTATTTTGTGTGCGACACTTTCGCAGTTAACTGTTCTGTCTGGTTTTGTATTATCATTTTTTTTTTTTTTGCACTC